CCTCCTGATTGCAGAGCAGCCCAAGGTCTAAATGGCAACAAAACGTTATACATAATGTCTGATTCACTGTGTGGAGAATGTAAAGAATTGAGACCTCCCGACACAGTTTACATTGGCCCTTTTTATGACTAATTGTGCAGAAAATAGCTCTGCTTGTAGTGTGCATGGAAACAGTTCAGATTTCTGCTGTGTGTCAGCTAATGGCTAGCAAGGCTTTTTTAGCACAACTTCAAAGGCTCTGGCAATGGAGGTCCTTTGTGAGGGAATTATCTCCTGCTCCTTTGTACCCCCTTATCCTTCTAAGCCATGGAACAAAGAATTGCAAAACGAATAGACACAGTAATTTGTAGTAGATCTCTAAACCTAGATAAAGTACATAACATTTGCTTAAAAACATTTTTTCTGCTTCTGTCATCAAAACACGGTTATAATTTTTCTGTGTAGGAACACCCAGGTTCATCTAACTTTTGAGGGATGCAACCTGATGCTTGGCTTATTGATGAGGGTCACTAGGATATCTGAAATGGAAAAGGAGAGCTTTAGTTTTTGTGGTCAATTAGAAAATAAATGCTGTCAAGAGTTGGCTGAGAAGTGTCTTTCTCTCTGCCTCAGGATATTCCACTAAGAAAGAAAGAAAGTGCATTCTTTCAGCAGTGTGTTTGTGCATGGACAAAACATGTGCTTTAAGGAAACCACGGATATTTCATGTATTTTTTACATGTTTTTTAGTAAAAAAAACAACCCTAATTGATGGTTTATTCTTTCTTTCGTCCAATGAAAAATGAAACCTTTGGGAGATAAGGAAACACATTACATGGATCTGTTTTGTGTAGTCCAAAGCACAGTTCTTAATTAAAAATAAAAAAACAAACCAAGGATGGAAGGTCTATGATTAATGTTACCAACCATGCTGTATAATGTGTTCCTCCACTGTCTCCAGATCCTTGTCTCGAAAAAACAAGATACGAGTGAAAGGAGAATCATGTTGGCCTCGTCAAATTTAGTAAGAAACCCCCTCTTAAGTGCAGCAGCCACACTGATCACTCCACTGTGTTTCTGTTTGTGTTCAAACTGCAAAATGACTGTGTTTAGCACTGGGTCTTGTCCTCAAGCAAATCCCATGAGTATCTCCTTGTTCTCAGAGGGCGGAAGGATTGCATCCACACCTGGGCATTTTTAATCTTAAACTGTTAAGGGTGGCTGCTCTGCCTATCTCCATGCCCAAGTACAGACTTTCTCTTCAGGTCCCTATGTAGAAAATATTTTATGTCTGCTTTCTCTCCTTTTCCACTTCCATGGATTTCTCAAGGCAGCTGATGTTCTGACCTCTTGGATCCAGTTTTCATCAGCTGTCAAGATAAATTTGGTTAATACTCCAGAAATGGTTTATTCAGATTTAGACTGAAGAGGGAATAGTGATGGAAATGCAAGATCATTCCCTTGCCTCTCTAACCTGTCTGATATGTCTCTAGATGCACTAAATTTTTAGTAGTTGTACTTTCTTGAGGTTTTTCCCAGGCCAGGAAGAGACATTTTTAAAATATTTAAGCAGAAGCATACATGCACACACACACACAGACACACATATATATATATATATATATATATATATATATATATATATATATATATATAAAGCTCATTTATTTTATAACTTTAAATAAAAATCAAATCCACTGATGTTATAAAGAATGTGACAGTTACTGCATACTCTGTTTGCACATATGAGCAGCCAGAGGAAGTAATTCAATGTTTTTTCTGATGCTGAGCTTAATTGTCTCTAACTTGCTGGTTATTTTCATCACATGCCATAGGCTGTCAAAGTATTCTGTTCTTGTAAATATCTAAATATCTAAGTGAGTCTTTATCTCAAGTTATGGGTGACTAGGGAGAGTTATTTTATGTAAGATATTTCTCACGTAGAAGATTTTCCTGGGTTTTAAAACTGGAAGGGGTAATTATGATGGACTTCACAGCAGGAGGCAGGCCAAGACAATTCTTCCAGGAACTCTTTCACCTTTTGGGTTACCTACCTACACTGGACCTCTCAAGTGCCACCTTTTTCCTTAAACCTTCCTCTTCTACGTCTCTGTTCCTAAGGAACTCCTTGCCATGGGATAACATGGATCACTGCTGGGATATGTCTGTGTTGGGTGGGAAAGACTGCTGGTCTGAGCATGCATAATTTCATGTTTCCAATCAGGAGAACATAAATTAAAGGTACTAAAGTAGAACATGATTCCAGGTTGCTTGTGGTGTGCATGAGTTGGCTACAACAGCGTTACCATTATGTAAAATGAACAAGTGGATACAAAACCAACCTTAATATGTGAATTCTGACTGGACAGAGAAGTTAAGACAATCAGGTGGAGAGGATGCAAGCTGGGGGTGAGATGGGTGGTAATTTACCCAGCTGTACATGAGATAATACAAACAGGTAAATTTTAAGCAGAGTCTAAAGGTCAAGTTTTGCAAACACTTGCTCATGCTATTTCCTAGTAGTTAAATTTTTGGGCTCTGTTGATGTATGTGGAATGGAGAATTATTTGGGGTCAGCTCAAAGTTGGATTTGGATTTTTTTATTTCTTTTTATTTCTGTTCTCTTGGTTGAACTGAGGCATTGAAAATATTTCAGTATATATTGGATTGTGGGCATACAATGAAGTAACTATGATATTTCCATGGATATTTGTAATTAAGATTTTAATTTATTTGGGAATTTGAAGTTGAGAGGTTTTTAATGGAAGCTCACATTCCTTCAAGTTAGGAAAGGCAAAATTAAAAGAACAAGCCCTAATGCCATGCTGCACAGCAGATCACCAGTCCCAGAAGCTGGCAGCTTTCAGCATGGTATCCACACAGAGAGCAGGAAGGAAAAGTCCAGGAAGTGTCATCTTTTGGTCTTCATCCATCACTTGAAGGGACTTGCAGGCTCTGCTGAGGAGCTGACATTGTTGACAGACCTACCACTGTGTGGATGAGGAGTCAGAGCCTTTGCATAGTTACTTTTTTCCCTGGTTTTAAAAGAGTTAAAATTGGTTTCTCCTGCGCTCTCATGCTGTCAAAGATTTGCTGGATTCAGGACAATTATTTACATTAAGAAATCTTTTGGCATTTAAGACTCTGGCTCAGGGAAAATAAAGTGGACTCGGAAACATCTCAGACTCTGATACCTTTGACTTTGGTTCCTCAGTGTCACTTTGCCATTGACAGAATGGGGACCTTTGTTTGCCTTGGCCACTGCATAAAAAAACAGGATATGATCAAATCCAGTTAATCATTCACAAATGTCTCATTTCTTGAACCTCTGAGGGTGTATAACACATTTTTGGGACTGTTCTTTGCTGCTTTGGCTTTTGTTATAAGTAAGTTAGAAAGGGGAAAATCAAATTTTGAGTTTTCTTAAAAGGAAGTGGAGGAATCCTGGAACACACTAGGGCTCTGCAAATGTACATTTAATCATTTAAAGAAATGTCTTTTGGCTAAAAGCTCTTCTTACCAGCGAGCTTGCAAGTTGCACTCAAAGCCATACAGCTACATCGTTCCAACAACTGAGGAGAGTTAGCGCCCTTGTTGGCAGCGGGAGCAGAGGGATGCAGGCTGAGCAAATCCCGGGGGCTGAATGCTCTCAAATTCATCAGGACTTTGTGCAGCGTGGGTGAAGAATCCTGGGGGTGACCCTGCTGGTGGCTTCACCAGCTCCTTGCACAGCGGTGCCCTTGGAGGGGGACTCGGGCACATCTTGCCTGCCTTGGTGTTTTCCATGCAAAACATTTGGCCCTGCTGTGGAGCCAGGCAGTCAGAAACATCTCCTGCAAACACTTTCACTGTGCTTCAGGCAAGCACACGCTCTCCAAGCAGCACTAGCAGCCCAGAGGAGTGAGTTCCTACACCCCACACCATGGTAGAACTCCCTCCTCCGAGATGCCACAGGGCACAGAGCACACGGAGGTTTGAGCACGTTCCTGGTGAATTGGTCTGTTCAGAGCTGGCAGTGAGGTGCAGTGACCTGGGTGTAAATGGGGGTCCCCCAGCCCTGCAGAGCTGGAAGCTAATGGATATAATGGAAGAGGATTGTTCTGTCCTGTGTCAGGCATGACTGCAGGTGGAGACAGGTTACAGTGATATGTGGATTTTAATAAACCTCTTTGTGGGCTTCTTGCTTCCTTACTTTATATATCCAACCCATCCTGCAAACAGTGTGGGACTCTGACAATGAGTTGAAAGCTTTGGCTGGATTACACTGCCTTATTGAGTCTGTGCCCAAAGCCCTTTGAGGGCTCCCATTGACTCCGGTGGGATTTGGTTCAGACTTCAAGTATATGGGACTCCCTTAAGTAAACTCCTTCAAGACCTGTACACACTGCAATACTTACTGGGCTCCTCGTTACTTCTGTGAATAGGAATGTGACCTTTACACTTCTAACAAAGAGCCCTGAATTACAGGACTAAATCTCCATGTTTTGGGAGAGATAAGGTTACCATCCCAGCTCCTCCCAGCCCCGCTGTGCAGGTGGCTGAATGGCTGATGAGGCAATTCCTGAATCACTGTGGTTTTAGTCAGACAAGTGCTGAACATGCAGTACAGCAGCTTCAGAGTCTCATCATTAGCAGATGCCCATGAACAGTGATGGTCAGGGTTGTAAGTTGTTCCATTTCATGAGTCTAAGCCCTAGTAATATCCTTTTGCCACTACAGGGTCATTCTGATTTCCATGTTGGAAATTGACTGAATCAGTGTACATATTAAAAATGGTCACAGTGGAAGGCAAGACTAGCAACCCATCTAGGTTTCATAATATCCACCCAATCCCTTGGCCATGTGAGGGGAGGGAGGGATAAATAAGATGGAAGAAGAGTTTGGGCTGTATGCTGTCCCTTCCTCTGGTCTCGTTTTTGGTACCCTTGCCTCCCAGAGCTGCTGTTCCAACAGGAGAAAGAAACTCAAGTGAGTGAGAGTAGTAGTTTGATTGACAGTGCTATTTTCTACCTGTATTTTAGGTCACTTCCTGGGTAACAACACTGTGATTGATGTACTGAGACAAGCAGGATTTGAAGTGGAGCACACCCCTCCTGGACAACCAATTGGAAAGTAAGCAGCTGCCCACAGATTATTAATCACTTTCTCTCCTTTTTTCTCTCCCTTTTTCTGTGACTAAGCAAGATTATTGCATTAGTATAGGAGGTGGGTGAGGAACCTCCCTTTCCCACCCAATTTCCAGACAAAAAGTTCATTGTAAAGCATCCATTGTGTGAGTTTGGAAACATATGGAGCCTGAATGGCTGGTGTTTTTGTGGGTTTTTTCCACTTAGGGACATTATTTATATCACAGCTGCTTCATTATACCAGCTCAGAAGTGCCATAGTTTCTTTAAAGAAACATCTCATTCAGCTCATTTTCCCCCAGAGCTGTTTCTCCTTTTGCTCTCCGTGGGGTTTTTGTTGCTTCTCCATTGCAGACTTCTCTGTCAGGCTGCTGTTCTTCAGGTGGAATCTCAGTTTTTCCTGAAGGACCACATTTAATGTAGCAGATGCACCTTTGAAAGTGTTTTGGGCAGGTAGAGAGCAATTCAGTATTCCCTGAGCTTCTCCATCTATCTGGTCAAGTAAAGCAAGCAAGAAGGACTGATCAACAGGCTCTTGGCAATCTTCATTAGTGTAAAATAAAATATGGCAAAAAATTGTCCTTAGCTGGTGAAACAGACTTCCTTCATCTCGTAGACTTTTCTTTTTCCTGGCTGTTTAAATGATGTCTCTGTCTGAAGAAATCACAGACAATAAAACCATGAGGGCTGGTGAGAGACCATCCAGCTTTGCAAAATCAGCCTTTCCCCTACATTCTGCAGATAAAATTTGGCTAAGGCTATTCTGTCATAGGATTGTTATCCTCATTAGGAGAAAGTGTTAGCAGCATGCTCCTGTCCCTGGTGGGCAGACGTGACATGGTCCAAAACTGAGGTGAGTCTCAGTGAGGAGGATTAATGGCAGAGGTAGTAGACCATGTCTGAAAAAGCTGTGTGTAATCTAAAAGCTGTTGGAAAATCTGGCTGATCTAACCTTGTTTGGGAAACATCCATAGTGATTCATATAGAATATAATATAGTTCAACTGTATATAAGTGTTCTTTGACAGAGCATTTATCCTAAATGCTTCTTGGAATCTGTTGAGCAATAAAAGCATCGTCTTAAATAACAATGGGGGAAAGAGGAAGAAAAGGCTGTTAAACACCACCAGGAAGAGCATATATTCAGGAGGTTTAAGAAGCACTTTGGCAGGGGGAGGAAAGTCAACATGGTGCAGGGAGGAGCAGTAAACACTGTAACAGTCTGGAGCTGGAAATTTTTGATTAAAACCAACCAAAAAAAAATAGCAAAACAGAAAAACCAAGCAAACTAGAGCAGAACAGCCGAGGTGTACCATTCCTAGGTTTCTAACAAAGAAACTTTCCACTGGGGGAAGCAGGCACTTTCTTCAGCAATTTTCATTTAGTTGAAAGTATCATCTTCCCATGAAAAGTGTTTCAACTGGAAATTGTGAAACTATTAATTTATTGGCTGTTGCAAGCCCTTGAGAAGAACTCAAGATGCAGTAGTGTGAAAGAAGTCCAAGAATAGTCTCTGCTCTCTGGTGTTAGGCTATGTCTGTACACATCATCACAGACTTGAAACAAAGGATGGGCTGGAAAATTGACTCGCAGCCAGTGATAAATGTTGACTTATTTGCAGAGTGGGGCACTGTCACTGTCAGACACAAAATGATTTGCACAGACACCGCTGGAGGTGTGGCAGAGGAAGAAGCAACTTTATTCTGTTGTTTCAGTAATTATAGATTCTCAACAACGACCAGGGATTGGATAGTTAGGTTACCACCTCCCCAACCACACTGGCCATAAGAAACGTCCATTAAAAGACACATCTTTAATGGAATGTATAAACATCTATGTTTATAGTTACCTTCCTGGGAAAGTGTTTAGAAACTATGAAAACAATGTCAGAAAGTTTGATTTTCAGGGTGACAGGACACCTCTATGTGCACATTCCACTACTTTGGCAGCAGTGTCTCCTGTTTGCGATGTCTTCCCTAAAATTCTCAATCCCTGGGGGAAATGCACCTGAAAGCAAGAGGGCTTGGACTCTGCCAAGATCAATGTGTGTGTCCTCAGCTGAATGGTCCCACACTGGTAGCTTCTGTTCCCAGCTCTAGAGCATCATGTTGGGCAGGTTTGCCTGGACTAGAAACCTAATTCCAGTGGGGTCTGCTCTGAACAGTGAAATACAGAACTTTGTTAAAGGGTAAATGGTTATGCAGGAATGGATGGAGTCAAGAGAGAGCACATGGTGGTCCCCCATAGGTATTAGATGCTCTGTGAGTTTTCCTGTGGTCTGATGATAAGGTAGGTCTGCCAGTTCTAGATGAGAATAAAGAAAGAATAAATTGCATGGCAAAAAAGTCCAGAGTTGCCACCAGACTGAACTACTCAAGGTGAAGAAACAGCAAAAAACTATAGAAATTGTGAATAAAGAGCATTTAAATATACTCACAAGAAGCAGCTTTCTGCCTTAGGGAGAAAAAAATACTCTCAAAACTGCACATCAGGGACTGTATTGTCATTTTCCTGTAACTGGGGCTGTAGCTATCAGAAGTACTTGCGGCTTCCCCTTAGAAATGAAGAGGCTGCTGCAAACCATTTTGTCTCTTTTTTTTGTAGAATAGTTTGTATTTTATGATTTCTGGGTGAGCTGCAAGACAGTCTAGCCAAACACAGTACAGCATTGTGATAGCACGACAGCTTAATGATTGTTGTGTTGTTCATGTTTACGTTATATCATCATGGTGCTGTAATTGAGTGTCTTAAGGAACCTTGCATTTTTGTTTAGCCTTCTTTTTTTTTTTCACTCTTCCCTTTGCTCTTTAAAATATTAAATAAAAGCAGTTGAAAGGCCCAGAAGAGGAACCATTTTGCTATAGTAACTGTAGTAACAAAACATATACACAGAATAAACAGAAGCTCAACCAATTTTGCGCTGCTTGCAAAGCAGAAATTATTTTGTGGTTTACAGACGTGCAGGTGTTTTCATCTTGATTCTTGTGGAGGCATACATGAAGAGTATTTCTCTCCTGTGCCCAAGCCCAAAAGAGACATTTCTGCTTTACTTCCAAATAAGTTGTATAAGGGAATCAAGCCCACTGTGTTGCATTCTGGCACTGGCAATTGAAAAATTGGATAGTGTTCAGGGAAGATCAGCTGGATTCTAATGTGGAGTTTGAGGGGTGGACAGCACATGGAAAAAATGCAAGAGTTGAAAAAAAAAAACTGAAGCAGCTGCATGCTTATGTTTTGGCAAAGGGAATTTAAAAAAAATGTTGTGGACAGGCTGTATACAGGAGAAAGAAGAGGAACAGTTTGAGCTGGCACATAGGAATGTTTGACAGTATATCAGATCAAATTTGAGGGTGGTTTTGGATGAATATCAATGATTCCTTGACAGTGATTTGCAGGTCAATTTTTCTCAGGTTAAGTAAGAAGCCCCATTATATGAAAGTAACTTCAGCAAAACACTCATGCTATGTCCTATTTACTACCAGTGCTGCCTTGCCAAAAAAACAAATGGTCATTTTCTTTAATCTCTCTGTTCCCAGAACAGTGTGATTATTACTATTATTGGCATGATTAGTAGTCTGATCTTTATTGTTCAACAATAATTCAGCAGCATTACCATAGATAGGTGGAGTATAGTCTGGTATGATGTCTAAACTCTGCCATCCATTTTGGTTTTAGAAAGGACAAGAGAATCCCTTTTGTAGAAAATAACTAGCACTGTTCCTAGGTATCAGGAAAAGCCTTGGGAAGAGTGAAACAGGACAAAGGCTGAAGCTGTTCATGCTTGCAGTTGCATACAGACTGGGAAAAGCCAGAAGATTGTTGGCTTCCTCTGCCCAAAATGCTAAGCATGGGTTGTGAAATGGCTGCTCTTTAAGTCAACCAAACTGAATACCTAGAGTCTCACATTTCTGTTGTCTAGTGACAAGCACAAATTTGAGCCAGATCCTCCCTTTCCTAAGGTACTGGGAAAAAAAAAGTGAGATCTTGTCTGGCTTGAAGAGATAGCCAAGATATAGGGGTCTGATGGCTCCAGAATCAGTGATCTGGCAAAGAAAAGTTTATATAAAGTACATTTAGCTGGTGTGGAGCTATTTGGGAACTCTTACTGACTGGATTTCTGAAATCTCCTGGCTCCTCCTGTTGATCTGCCTGGTGGCCCAGTGTTGACCTTCCTGTGTCTCTTCCAGAATTCCACCATCTGACTATTGAAAACACCTTCTTTAAAGCTCAATCCCTTTCTGTAAAAGAAATCCTGTTCTATTCATCCAGCAGAACAATGCCATAAACACTTGAGAACTTATTCTCACATTGGCTTAATTTGTTCATTTTGTTGCCTGAGGGAAGTGTCCTGAATCTGTTTGCGTGACAGCCTTCAGCAGCGTTCATATTTGCTTCTTATTTTGCTGGCTGTCATCCTTGTCCCCAGATAAAGGAATTGGAAAATTAGTGACTGAATCAATATCTCATTGCTTTGCCCTGAGATAAGAAAGACAACTTTTTTTCTTTTTTTCTTTTTTTCTTTTTTTTTTTGTGTGGAGTTCTGCCAGTTGGCTGTCCCTGTTCCTCTCTGTCTTCAGAAAACAGAGCTGCATGGATGGGGCTGGGAGAGAGGAGGAGATGGGAGAAAGTCTCCTCTTAGATGGATTCCAGTGACTTGAGCAGATAAAGGGCCACAGCTGCTTCACATTTAACTGGAAACAGCCAAGCTGCAAGATCAATCCAGGAAGCACCTGTGTCTATGATGACTCTATTGTTGCTGGGTTCTCAGAATCAGCTCTGACCTGCTGCCACATGCCAAGCCCTGATGTGCTGCACACCGTCCTCTTGGCCAGAGGAACATGCAGCAATGCTCATTTTTATCAGGCTGCTCACTCTAAGGATGGAATGCTGCCTTCTTTCAGAATCAGGGAGTTCAGGATGATGGAATAATTCAGCACAAGATTTTATGTCTGCGTGTGTGAGAGTTTGAGAGTTTATTGTAAACTCTC